ATAAGATGTTTGATATATTCGTGAATGATCAAAACATCAGCTGAAACCTCGGAACTCCAACTACAAACCATAATGTGCTCCACGAAAAAAAAATCGCGCCGGTGTCGCAAATTGGGTTTATGAATAAGATGTCTAGAATATTTCGGTGAGTCGAAGTGCCACTATCTAAATATATTAAACCTATTTACCGAAATTGATAGCGTTGATATATTGTATTTAAGAGGAATGCTCACGGAAAAAAGAAAAAATGGGCGTTTTCAGTGGTTGACCATTTACCTGATGTTAATTTAAGATTATCAGCAATTGACGTATTTAAAACGATTGACTTAAATTTTCTCACGTTGCAAATCACTCGCTTTCCTTTTTTGTATTGTTGACATGAAAGTTTAAAGTGGAGATCAATCGGATAGATGCCAAATACGGATGATTTTCCTTAGATCATTCACCACCAGATTGTTTATATACCGCATTTTTTTTTTGACTTTTGATCAGTCGAGTTACGATGATAAAGAAATAATAAGCTTTCATTATCTTGAAAGAAAGAAAAAATGAATGAATAAACTTCTATAGTTTGTAGTCAAGATGTAATATGCAATTATGTAATACTATTAAATGTATTAAATGATATGCAGTATCATAATATATTGAATAAAATATAATAAAAATTTACAAGTAATTTTTATTTAATAATACAATTGAGCCACTTTATTTGTTTTTGTTTAATATAATTTATGTATTTTTTTTAATATACTATATTGAATAAAATAGAAACTTTCTTTTTAATATCTTTCAATTATCATAATCTTTTTATTTTATTTTATTTTTTAAACTAAGACAGCTGTTGGTTAGATTTTTTATTTATAAACAATTATTATTACAATGATGTTATATATATTGTAAAAGAAATAACATCTCTTATTAAAAAAAAAAAAACTCAATACAAGATTTAAAAATTAGTTATGCTAGAGATTTGGTCTTTGATCTTTTGTTGCCTCCACAGGGATTTATTTTATCCAAGAGATTTCTTGTTTCTCCGTTGGAATTTGTTTGGGTATCATCTAAGATTCTTTGGAGTTTGAATGAGTCTGGTTTGGATCCTATCTTCAACTTATAGATCTATGCATGTGAAATTTGGTAACCTAAGTCTCCTTTGCTTCTATACCAAATGATTTGTCTATTTGTTTCTTCCGGACTTGCAATTTTCCAGCTCCATCGGCATTGGTCCTTGTTTTGATTACTTGTAAAAAATCTTCTGTCCTGTTCTTCCCAGTTCCAGTCTTGCCATCTATTGTTTAGAACATTGTGTCTATTTGTGAGGGTTAATTGAATTTTATTGTACTATAATGGTATTGGTCCTTTACTGATTCTTGATAGGGTTTGGATGATTTTCCACGATAGCATCATTTTCGTATCTTTATCGATTAGTTGGTCTACGAACATTATGTTGTGTTTTCTTAGGGATGGGATTGCTTTCTGATAGGCTTCCGTGTCATTGAGCTAAAACAGAAATATATATTTAAAAATTTGAAAGTACTATTTATTATATTATTAATTTACAAGTTATTAATTTTAAATTTATATAATTAAAATAAATATATATATATAATTAATTTGATTAGAAATAAACATTTTTTTTAATATTGGTTTTTATTTAATAAGTTATATTATATTTTTTTTAATAATAATTATTTTTTTATTAATTAATTACAAATTTTTTATATAATTTTTTTTTAATTTAATTTTTATATTTCTTTTATATAATATTTATATCAAAGATATATAAAAAATAATTAATATATATGTATATATATAATACTCTTCTTGCTAATCCTTTTACCAATCCAAAAAACAGATATTCTTGAAAAAACAATTTTTTCAATAAAAAAAGCTAAACATTCTTTTTAATAATACATATTTTTGAAAGCAAAAGTTTTTTCTACTTTTTTATGTTTTTTTTTTTAAAACTTTTTAGATATCTTAGTAACAAAGTATTCAAAATTTATTTATTTGATTTATGGCAAAAAAAACCTACTGGAAAGAAAAAATTTGATAAAAAAATACTTTTCTTCACTTTTTCTCAAAATCTGAAATTCTAGAAGAGCCTACTAGTGAATGTATTTTTCAAGCTTTATAAGAATTTTGAGTTTATTATAAGTAAATATCTTTGCTAGAGGCAGATATATAAGCTAATATTTTGATTTATAAATGTGAACATATAATTTTTCTATTAATCAAATGTTCCCAATAGCCTTCTCAAGTATATTAACAAATTTTTAAAAATTTTTAAGAAATTTTGTCTATTTTAATTTGATCCTAAATTTTTTATTACATTGGAATTTCAAGTTAGTGATTGGTTAAGATTTTAAATTGGCTAATCAATATATAGCAGAAAAATAAACAAGATATGTTCTTTTCATATATTTTTGTCATACAATATAATAATAATAATATAATTAAAGAAAGCAGAAGAGCAATGTATCATAGTGTTCTTTTGAATAGAAATAGTTTGATATTTTACCTTTTTTCTTTTGAATTGATTTCTTTTCTTTTCAAAATCAAAAAAGTCTTATTTCAATCCAATAATAAGCTTTTTCTATTAATAATTATTATAAGAAAACATTAAGCATTTAGATTATAAAACTTTATAAACAATAATTTTTATTGTAAGTTATATTATAAATACCTTAAATAATCTTAATTAGCAAAGAAAAAGTGGAAATTAAATGGTTTATCTAGTTGTAAATAATAATAAAAAATTTATTTTGATGAATTAAAATTAAAATTGGAGAGTTTTTATTTACTAGAACAAACTTTTCATTTACTTTTTTTATTTTTATTTCTTAGAATCACAAGTTTGTATTGAGGTAATAATCTAAATATAAACTGGCTATAATTTTTCTTAAGACCAAAAAACAGTCTCAAAAAAGAAACAATTTTATTATTTTCTACAATTACACTTAAAGAAATAAGATTTAAAAAGTCTAAGATAGTTAATATTATGCAGTAATGGCTTAATAAACTAACTTTCTTGTAGTGAAATAGTTAGTAAATAATTAAATCATGTAAGTGACATGGTGGTCTTGATATTAAGAATTCAAGAATCATATACAAATCTAAAAAATAACTTGTTAATAGGTGTTCTGCAATATGCACAGTTTAAATTTAATATAAGGCCTTAGAATTCAATGTATTATTGTTTTATTTTAATGAACATAATAAATTGCAATATGATTAGTGACAAAAAAAAATAAATAATTAATTAATTAAAAAAAAAATAGATTATCAAAATCAAAACAATTTATTAAATAAGTTATTTAAACTTTTATAACTGTATTTTTAATACTTATTATTAGTACTATTTTGTATTTTCAGAATATATAATGTGATAATTACAGTATATAACTATATCTCATGATTTTTATTAGACTAACATTATATCATATAGACAATTAGCATTTAACTTATTGAAATAATATAAAAAAATAATGTTTATCTATAAAAAATTTTTTTTGTAAATTGCAATTTTTTTTTAATTTGTCAAATTATAATATAATACTAAAGAATTTTATACCAAAATTTATAACAATTAATTAATTATTGCAATTTTGTTAAATTGTTATATAAAGATCAATTGTTAATTATTATTATATACATAATTTATTTGTTAAATTGTTATATAAAGATCAATTGTTAATTATTATTATATACATAATTTAAACATTGTCGAATATTTATAAATATTTTAAATAACAGATGCCATAAATTAAGCTAAATAATAAAACTTTGACATAACTTGGACTAGTGTTAATTAATCACTTAGTTCACTTGATCTCTGTTTAATTTACTTAATTTATCGCTTAATTCATTAATATAAAACTTCCGATTTTCATTAGGCGTATTTCATTGACATCATATCAATAAAAAATATATAATATATAAAATTAATGATTTGAATAAGTTGGGTTTTGTCTTGTTAGTTCTTTTAATAAGTGAATGTGATACCCTGCGAATCCAGGGTCGAATCGTCGGGTTCGAGGAAAATTTCTCTTCTAAACGTCTCATCTCTACAGGCCGTCCTAATTCTAAAGCTCTTGATGTTACCAAAATTATTACCGCCGATATCGAAGCTCTCGTTGTTAACAAGCGTATCCACCTCCCATGGATAGCGGAATGGTACGGTGTTAACAAGGACGGCCCGTATAAATCACGGATCAAATGATTATTCAGGATTAAATTCTTAAGGACAGATTAACATTTCTAGATTTGTAATGTTATTCGTTCTTGTCCAAGCATATATGGCATTTAACTATTAGATTTAACACATCCGAATATTTTTCACGTATGTGAAAGTTACGTTGACATTGTCTATCATATCTTTCATAATTTCCGAGTTACGGAACAACGTTAAATTATTGAAATATTTTTTAATACTGTATTGAAAACAAAGTAAAATTTATTAATTATATTGTTTTACATGTTATCATTAAGAATATTAATAAGTAATAAAATTAATTAAAATATAAACTAGTATTAGCAGGGATGGATATAGGATTTAAACAGTTAGATGATGCAATTGGGTATGGTTCAGAAACTGGATTATCCAGCAATTGGGTATGATTCAGCAATTGGGTATGATTCAGCAATTGGGTATGATCTTTCGGCAATTGGGTATGATTCAGCAATTGGGTATGATTCAGCAATTGGGTATGATCTTTCAGCGATTGGGTATGATTCGGCAATTGGGTATGATTCAGCAATTGGGTATGATCTTTCGGCAATTGGGTATGATTCGGCAATTGGGTATGATTCAGCAATTGGGTATGATCTTTCGGCAATTGGGTACGATTCGGCAATTGGGTATGATTCAGCGATAGGGTATGATCTTTCGGCAATTGGGTACGATTCGGCAATTGGGTATGATTCAGCGATAGGGTATGATCTTTCGGCAATTGGGTATGATTCGGCAATTGGATATGATTCAGCGATTGGGTATGATCTTTCAGCGATTGGGTATGATTCAGCGATTGGGTATGATTCAGCGATTGGATATGATCTTTCAGCGATTGGATAGGATTCGGCAATTGGGTATGATTCGGCAATTGGGTATGATCTTTCGGCAATTGGGTATGATTCGGCAATTGGATATGATTCAGCAATTGGATATCCGGGAAGTGGTGCAGCACTCACCGCGGAGAGGGCGGCTAATAAAAGGATTCCAGAGAACTTCATAATTATTGTAATAAAAATTGGTTTCTTTATTTTATAATTGTATGCAGTTTTTGTTTTTACCTCGGAGCAAGCAAAATTAGTCTTTTTATAAGAAAAAAGTGTTTAACTATTTCATTTTTACTTTTCCATTCTTTATTTTTTCTTATTACTGTTTTTTAAAAAGTGGATATATCTTCTCATATTGCGTGTGAAAGGGTAAAAAAGAATGATTTGTTTTTGGCAATTGAAAATATACTTCATATTGTTTATGAGTTTTTCGGTATAGGCAATAAAAAAAATGAATAGGTTTAAAATCATATGTTGGCGATCGAAAAAAAGAATGAAATCATATGGTTTTAGTGTTATTATCATTCAAGAACCTTGATGTTATTAGATTAGATTGGCCGAAAATTACCATATTGAGCCGAATGAAATTAATTTCGAATGGTATTCGGTAGATCAAACGTATGGGACAAAATTATGAAGGCTTTTGATTGGCGCTATCAAAATTTGAGAAGGCGGCATAAACTGATGATGTTGATACGTACAGGAAAATGAGATTATGCCCAACGTTTTTTTTAAATTCTCGATTGACGTTAACAAAATTAAGGTTCTTTTAAAAATCAACCAACGATGTCACTAAAATTATAAAAAACTTTGGTTTAACAAAAACATGATATATTATTAAAAAATATGTTGCATACGTATAAAAACAATGCCCTGGTTATAGCATTGATATAATGAGGCATATTATCAACAAGATCACAAAGAAAATCTAAAAAAATTAATTTCATTCATATCGAATCATGTCTTTTAATTAAATAAATAATTTTTAACATTGTTTTTCATTACTAATTAAAGATTTTCAATAGGATTTAGATTTGAACTTTTAGAAGGTCAGGATAGAATTTCAGTGTTCATATTAACAAGTTCAACTTTTGTTATTTTTGCAGTATATACAGAAACATTATCTGTTGAAATATATTATTTTCATATAAAAACATTAATCTAAAATATATTCTTTAAATAATTTTATATATATTATATAAAAATTAAAAAAAAAAATTCTTTATTAAAAGATTTTTCAAAATGTAAACAAAATAATTTTGTAATTGTAAAATTATTATTTAACTTTATTAAAAATCAAAAGAGTATTTTCAAATACATTTTCAAGATCATAACCTTTTTTAATAATAAATAAAATAAATATATATATTATATAATTTATAATTTTGTAAATTTTTATTTAAATAAATAAAAAAAAAAACTTTTTCCCACAAATTTCAAAATTCCTAAAAATTTTCTTTTTTGATAATACTAAAAAAACACTCAAAAACATTTAAAGAAATACTTTAAGAGAACATCCAAAGGAAAACTTTCCAATATCTTCTTGAAAATAAAGAAGAGCAAATATAACAGGTATATTGTGGATTTAAAAAGTATATTAACTTTTCTTTATTTCTCAATTTTAAAGACAGATACTTGTGATTTCTTACTAGAAAAGAAGAAAAAACAAAGAATACAATTCATAGTAAATTAAAAGAGAAAGTCAACACTGTACTTCACAAGCTGTCAGCCAGTTGTGCACCAGGTTAGATACCTTCCTAAACACTAGCAGGACTCAGTATTGATCAGATCACATTTGATAAACCAGACAACCTCGCATACCAACACTAAATCAAAAGGATATCAAGACTTTTTCATTACTATAATTGAAAAGAAAAGTACAAAACTCAATATTTTTGAAAATAAATAACATCTGTTATGTGATCAAATTTTTGTTGGAAACAAAAAACCAGAGACAGTTTACTTCTCCCAAAAATCAACAGTAATATGAACATATACTTTTCAGAACCAAACAATATTAACAACTATCAAATAAACAAATATAACAACCCAAAACATGACATGTATACACAATATATTCAAAGTTTACCAAAGTTAGCTTACTTCCAAAGCAAGATTTGCAGTAGCACAAACATGCTATCATCATAAATAAAGTAACAAAACACAATTAGGACTTATTAAAACAAGCAGATTACAAATAACTTGGTAAAACATATGTCAATCTCAATCCTATATATCAAAAAAAAATAACTATACTACACAACAAGCTGTTCCAAACAAATCAACACACATTAAACAAATAGCAAATTAAGCTGATTCACATGTGTTAATCCAGTAAAAGTCCAAAACAATAGTTGACTCCAATCCAATTCAAATAAAAAATCTAATAATAGAACACCTTAAAACAATTAAAGACAATTACAATAAAGAAGAACAAAGATGGTTTCATATGTTGATTGAAGATGGTGCAACAAACACAGTATCAGAACTGGAAAAGTTAGAAGCAATAGTAAATATTACAGTTATAAATATTGTTACACTTGATTTTCGTCCAAGATCTTCAATACCCCTTGTCCGATTTTCATTAGCATTGACTCTTGAAATGTTAGTTATTCCAAAATAGTCTTGTATTACAGATCTGTTATTGCACCTTCGGCATCTATTGTATCTATTGCATCTTTACCATTTCTAGAATATTTCTATTTTATTTTATATTTACTTTCTATATTATCTTCACCAAAGTATTTATCTATATAAATGTTACTATAGTTGACTATTCTGACGAAAATAGTATTTATATCTTAGCTTATATTTTTACCATAACATATATTTATCCTATACGAAAATATTATAACTTAAACATATATATAAAGGCTCCAATTTCACCTAGGAATTGGTAGGCTTGAACATATATTTTATCAAATAAATAACTTGACCTTTGAAAAACAAATCACTATTGCCTCTTTCACCTAACTTCATACATCTCAGAACTGTACTAATTCATACATCCCTAGAAACTTTAGCATATCACATTGGCCCTGTCTATCTAAAGTGTCTCCCTGCTACTAGTTCTCCGTCTTTATCTTTCTCCTGAGATAGAAACAATATATGACAATAGGAGATAAGGGTCTTAACAGTGGGAATCCTATTTCTGGATAAGTATTAGGATTCAATATGTTTGAGAAGTTGGCAGGACCATCAAGTTAAGACAAGACGGAAATGCTTTTCTCAGGCTGGTATTAATAAGTACTAATAGAGTTTCCCATTTTTATATCTTCTGGTATTGAAAAGTTTAAGTCTATTGTAAAAGTGATTTTGTCATTGTGTTTTTCAGTTATGAAAGGTTCAAATGATGGTTTATATACATGTTCTTTTTAGGAAAATTATTTTCCCTAGGAGTGTTATGATTTAATTGGTTCATAAGTGTTGTTGTTATTATTTTTTTTGACAGTAAATCTTTTCCAATAGGATTAGAGTCTGATTAGTTGATTTCTGCTACAGTTGTGTTTAGATGTGAATTTATTTTATGATTTTGATTAGTAAAAATTGCTGATTTTGTTAAGGATATGATTGTTGTTAACACAAGTAAGTGTTAAAGATTTGAGTTGTTCATCTGGTATATTGCTTTAATGAAAAATGTTTTTTTTTTCTCCTGAGATTAATCTTGTTATGTTAATCACGTTCCAAGAGACATACTTGAAATAGTTCCAGTCTTTTTTTAGAACCAGTTATAAAATAAAATTTCTGAGAGTGCTATTGTTGACAAAGATATTTTGGAAGGAGTTTTGAAAGTTAAGAAATTCATTTAGATATTTGGTCAATTTCTCTTTAAGAACTGATACTCAGGTGGTGAGGCTTTTTTTGTCTTAACTGGTATGAAATTTGATTTGAAAAAGTGAGAGGTTCTTAGAGTTGGATCTGGTTACATTGGTAGTGAGTATGAGCCACCTTGTAGGGTAGTTTGACAGATAGGGGATGGTAGAGGAGCTTTATAGGCTAGTTACTACAATTTGGCCTTTGGAATCCAAATAGATGATGGATACTTGCTGCTTGCTTCTTTCAATTAATATAATGTCAAGAAGAGTTGATATTGGATTGGTTGGATATTGGTTTAAAGATGTGATTGCTGTTAAGACTGGTATTGTAGTGGAAGTCACTGCTATTGGTATTTGTTTGTTTATGTACTGAAACATTTTTATTGAGTTGTTATAAAATTTAGATATGTTTTAGTAAGCGAAGGTGTGCTAAAATATTCTGACACATGTCTTGCTAGTACAGGAAGGTGTGTTGATATTTTGTTGCACAATCTATTGTTGTAGTACTCAATTTAATGATTTGTTTACGTGATCTGCTGCAGTTGACATGTAAATAGATAGTTTGACATATGGTTGACACGTAATTTAGTAGTTGACATGTAATTTGGTGATTTATGCACATGTTTATTGTTGACTCCATGTGTTGTTAATTTTGATTGAATGGGCTAGCTTTTGTTGTTATGAATTTAATATGTGTTTGCGTGACTAGAAATTTGTAGGGAGCAAACTTCTAGCCTTTAGAATAGTAACGAGGTTGTCTAATTTATTGGATGTAATCTAGCCTCCTAAAGGTTCCTGCAGTGTCAAAAAAGATATTTAACCTGATACTGGCCTGGCTGTAGGGATAGAAGTAGTATCAGCTTCCTGAGACCTAACTGTGAATCAGTTGATTTGCCTTGTATTCCCCTCTGGAAGTAAGGAACTTTTTGTTTTGCTTTTTACTTGTTGTTCTATCAAATAAAATAAAGTGTTAAAATGTAATGTTGTAAAGATGTATACCTTTGAATTTGGATGTCTTTTGAATGATGAATCCTTAGTTATAGGTGTTTGAAAAAGATAAAAGATTTTTGGTTTTGTTTCTTCCTAATTAGAAAATTTGAGGTGGACAGGAAAGAGTTTTTTTATATAGAATATTACTTATTTTATTGATTAATAAATAATTATATTAAAAATATTTTAAAGGTTCTTAATATTTTCAAAATTTTGCAAAAAAAATTAAAATTCTATATCAAAATAATCTGATAATTAAATTATTTTGTTAAATACTTAATTTTGTTTTACTTATAATTTATTTATTTATAGAATGCTAAAGAAAGAATATATAAAAAAACTTTAAAACTCTTTTCTATTTACCCCTAT